AATGTGCAACCGTGTTTAAGTAATTAATCATACATATTTTTGTTATTGCAAATAATACATTACAGGAAGTTGAAACCTATGAAATTAGTGATACCGACAGCAGCGACTTACCAGATCCTGGCTTATCTGGTAATTATTTTTTTTTCTTGCTTTTAATGTCTGATCTGTTATGTTTTTTTAAATGTATAAAAAGTGAATTCCTTGTAATTTGTACAGTTTAAAATATTTAATTTAAGGAAATTGTGTCTTTCTTTTGTGGTTTGCTCTTTACAGTACTGTATTTTGCATCTTCTTTTGATTTTATGTAATTATGCTGTATTTCAAATTTTTAAAGGTATTGGCTGCCTCATGCATGGAGTTTGAATTTAATTCAACTTCATACATCATCATCATTAACTAGACACAGTACAAACAAACAATACAATAAAATAATAATAAAATAACGGAAACGAAATGATGATTGGACCTGAAAGAAACCCCAAAGTGCTTATAAATTTGAGGCCCTTACTATTCAAATACATAGATATACATTTACCTATAAAATTATTTATAAAATTAAAATTAAAAACAATAAATAGCACCTAATAAATAAATAAGTACAATATGATTGAAATAAATAAAAAATAACAATAGGACAATTTAAAGTAAATTTGTCCAATGACCAGAAAATTAGAATTTATGTGTACAGTATTGCATACTCCTACAGTACAATGTATGAATAAGCCTTGCCGGGACAATCTATTGTAAGTTCCCAACAGGGGCAGAAAGGTATAATGTTAAAACGTAAAAACAATAATGATGATAATAATAATATGTACAGTAAAATAAATTGGGAACTAATAATGATTTAAATATAAATATTGAAAAAAATTATACAATAATAACCAAAAGTAAAGAATGCTTAGTCACAACTAAGTAATGACTCTTTTTAGTTTTTCTTAAAAGTGGTATGTGACTTGAATAGTTTAAGAGTTCCTGTAGGTCATTCCATATTTGGGGGGCAACACATATTGCATTCAGACTAGTAAATTTTAGTTTCCATGTCTGGAATTTGGCTGAACATAATATAATGTTTTCATTTCAAGCTTTTGTAGATACCTCAGCTCTAGATGTTTTACCATCAGGTACAGCAACAGAATATGAAGCATTACCATCAGACGAAACTGCTACCAGTAGTTCATTCATTCCCGGAGGAACCCCCACAGTATGTATATTATAGTTATTGATCTTTGGAACTGAGTATCAAAAGCAGCCAAACTTATGTCTGTCCCATGAAATTTTTTTTTCTTTACTTTGTCAAAGATTTGCTTTCCCGAATTCTGAAAAGTATTTAGATAAGATAAATAATAAACTACTTTTCCATTCATTAAAAAATAGGATGGAAGTGCAATTTATATATGCTGTATATAACACCAAGAACATGTTATCCATAAAGTCCAAATTCATTAGAAGTACACAAAAGTATGTATAATAATATGGTTCAAATTACGACTGCCACTGATCACTACCATTATTATCATTAATAGATTTTTATTAAACTGTCCTTAGCGGTGCTATTAGAAGATTTATACGGTATCTTCAAAATAACCATTTATGTTCATATGTAGAAAAAGGTCACTGCCACTGACAACACAATAAATTATTGCTCCCAGAGAAACTGGTATATAGATCTATGGAGTAACGTATAATGTAGCTTAATTAATAGTGCTATAGTAGGCTTACTTAGAACTACAGACGCATTTTATGTGTACATCTCAACTAAATTAAATGGAAAAAAAATATTCTTATTGAAATTTTCAAAAGGGAGGGCTGGCATTTCATTTAATGATAATAGTAATAATAATTAATGAAATAAATAATAATAACAATTAATAATAATAACAATGAAAACAATAACCAACATCTATAATTTTATAATGTTAATAATAATGATAAATAATGATTTATAATAAACATCAAATATCATACGTTTTAAAAGACATTCTTTTAATGTCAAATGATTGTTGTTTATATTATGTCTTTTTAATTTAGTACCAATACCAATTTATTATACTATCTTCTTCTTTCCATTCATATAGGTTCTTTTGAAGACATTTCCTCAAGGAACATGTGAAATATGTTGTGATCGCCCAAAAAACAGTTTTTTTGTGCCATGTGGCCATACTATATGTCTGCCGTGTGGCACATACCTCAAGGAAAGCGAAACCAAAGATTGCCCATTCTGCAAGCAATTGATTAGTGGAGTGAACGGTTTCTACTAAAAGTCCAAGCAGTTGAATGGTTTTTTGGAGTTTTTAATGTTTTATTCAAATATCTTAAAAAGATACATACTTCCAAGAGGAAAGTTTTGAATACTGTATTATGTTTATTATTAGTTGACTTTAGTATTTTAAATTGTGGGGGATGTCAGAGATGATTACTGTTACGAGGTGTAAATATTAATCTATTATTTAGTCTTTAGTTATATGTAATTATTTCTTTTAAAATATATAGTAATTTGAAATAAACAATTTAAAAAAAAATTTTTTTTAAATGTTATAAATCAAAACGTTAAATTTTTCATTCAATTATAAATTGTAAAAACTTTAAATGATGATGATTTGATAAAATGATTTTAAATGATGGGTTTTGATAATTATGTGTAAATAATTTGACTACATAATAAATTAACAATAAAGACACCTCATAATATTTTATATATGAACAAGATTTATGAACAACAATTTTTACTACATGACGATATACTGAGATTTATTGTTATCGAAAAAAAAACCTTTCCATTTGTAAGTGAGACAATTTACTTTTGTTGCAGACATTATGGGTTTAAAAGAAAAAAACAGATTGCTTGTAAAAATACGGTAAATAACTGTTATGAATACAAGTCATTTTAGAAGAAAACATTTTTTTTTAATGTTAAACATTTTTATACGTACAAACATGTTATTAAACAGTTTACAAAACGTCTTAATTTCTCCTTTGACTTGTGTTCAAAGTTTAAGTGAAAAAAAAAGCAGAGTTAAAAAAAAAAATTTAAAAAAAAACAGATTGCTGGTAAAAATACGGTAAATGACTGTTATGAATACAAGTCATGTTAGAATAAAACAGTTTTTTTTTTTATGTTAAACATTTTTATACGTATAAACATGTTATTAAACAGTTTACAAAACGTTT